AATCCTTCCCAAGTGCACCTGTAGGGACTAATCACAATTTTGAGACTGTGGGTTGCGCATTTGTGTTTCCCGATAGAGCACAGATTTCATTCGGTGCCATTTACCGCAGTCCTCCCAGTGGGGTTAGCCTCTCACCCTTATAATCGCTCTCTAAAACAATTCATCCGTAATGTGTTTGCAAACGGCACTTTCTCTAGAATTAAGTAGCATGGTCGCCATTGACGGTCTTCATCAGTTTGTAGATTTTCCGACACGTCGATTGTGCTTTTATTCTTGACTTTTTTCATACGCTACCAGCTTAGTTCAATCTGTCTTTCTGATTCCTGGGATAAGTAACCATGACGGCATCTTAGCAGGTTTTTTTTTTTTTTTTTTAGACTATTAGTGGTCATGGCTTTTTCTCCTCGAAAGGTTCAATTTTTCGTATAGAAGTACTTTTCATTACGCATAATCTCGAAGAAACTTTTGCTGAGCTTGTAGCGATCAGTACCTCGTCTCTTTTTCGTTTCCTCCCTCCGTTTATCGCCTCGAAAAGTTTCGAGGCGTCTCGCCTCGAAACTTTTCTTGGCAATACAGTGGAAGGCACAGGCCCTCGTCCCCTCTCCCAATTTGAGTGTACGCAGGCTCTCTTTCTCTCCCCATTTCCGGGGAGAGGAGGAGAGCCCGCGTACACTCAAAATGGGAGAGGGGACGCGGGCCTGTACCTTCTATTGCATTGCCAAGAAAAATTTTCCCGGAGTATAGTGCTGACGATATTTGGCACTTAATTAAAAATAACCTAGTCTCGTTTATTGATAGCCATATACCAGGGTTGGCCACGGTGACGTGAGAATAGAGCCGCAGAATAAGTTACAAAAACTCCAAAAAGCCGCAGGAAAGAAAACAAAAAGGGGGGAGGGGCTGCTTTTAATGCGAAACTGTATGAAAGGAACAGTCCTTTCCAACGGGGACAAATATAAATTTCGACTACAACAAATAACACCAGGCAGCAGAATGTTTCTTCAACTGTTAAACAAAATGAATGCATGGTTCGCTTGCCAGCCGCTGCCCCTCACGACCGTTATGCGTATACGTTTCGACCTTATTTCAATAACAATAAAAAAAACAGGGTCCCTGAGCACATCTATTTGTCAAAAAGCAGTCTAGTTGTATGTACTGTACGTAGCTTAGTACAAGGCTGCCAAGACTTTGGGTTTTAATTATTCAATTCTAGAATTCATTTTGTCTTGTGGCAGAGGAGGGGAAGGGGGAACGCTTACCAGGGAGCCGCGAACCGCGCTTAAACTTGTGAGGAGCCGCGTGCGGCTCGCGAGCAGCAGTTTGGCCACTCCTGCCATATACCATCAAAAATCCTTTTGTGTAAACAAAGACACAGCAAGCCATGGTTTACTAACGAGATCAAGCGATTACTGAATCGGAGATACCTCCTTTTTCGGAAGGTACCTACGCTACAGGAGTGATTCATTTTTTTAACAGATTAAATATGCTGGAGAAATAAATTAAGTTGAAAGTAAAATGCGCCAAATATAACTTTTACTCCTCCCTTGGTGAAGAGCTTAGACGTAGTCCGAAAGAGATACGGAAGTTCGTTATATCCCAGGGCAAAGAAGATAGTACTATCCCACCTATCTTAACTGAACAAGGGTACGCCATTAATGACGTTGAGGAAGCAAAATATTTTAATTACTCATTTCAATACATTTTTCTTTTTTTTTCTTTTTTTTTTTTTTTGGTCACTAGAAAACATAGTTTCAGAACCAGGTACCTTTTACAGCGGCAGCTGGTTGCGCCCCTTTCCGGCAAATTACAGTGATAGCTGTGATTTGCAGGGAGAAAAAAAAAAGTTCATGTAAGAACAGAAAACTCCATTCTACAACAGAGGCACTGCTCTCCCTCACCCCGTCGTTGCTCACACAAGCAAGGCTCTCTTTTGCTTCCCCCCCCCCCCCCTTTCCCCTGTAGGCCGCCGCCGTTCCGTAAAATACACGTGATCGCGGGAAAAGCGCTTTCCCTTCATTTCCCTACCACGACCGCTCCGGTAGCCGCCGTTGCGAAATACCTGCATGGTCGCTGTGTGTAGGCACGCACCCTCGCCTCGCCACAGCCGCCGCCCAGTGTCCTCCAAAATAACATCCCGCAACACACATTCTGTGGTCGTTTGCAGATTAAATCCTGAGGCTAAGTTAGATATCATGATATATTCAAATGGCGTGCTGAAACTTCTTTCTGAACTAAAAGCTAACTCTGCTACCGGTTCAGACCTTGTTTTGTGTTAAAATCGTATGCACTTATTATTGCCAAGGTTCTTGTTGTCTTGTTCAATTAACTTCTACCATTGAAGAAACTCCCTCTTCGATTAAAATCTGCGAATGCTGCGCTCCACAGGGGAGTTGTCCTTGTTCTTTGGTTTTAAACTACAGGCCCATTTCGCTAACCAGTGTATACTCTAAAACTCTTGAACATATAATTTATTCAAACTATTTATCGCTTGGAAACAAAACATATTTTGTCCAATTTCAACGTTACTTTAGGGCAGACTTCACTTGCGTCACTCTGTTGGTCGAATTTTTCGAATGTTGCGTTTTTTCAATAAATTCTGGGAAACAGGAAGACAGGTTAAGAAAGCTCTTGATGCTGTGCCACACATTCCACTGATTCTTAAACTCTCATCTTTAGGCTTACCTGATTTGGTCTTTAGTTGAGTACAAGACTATCTAACCAGTCGCTCCGGAGGAGTAGTCATTAAGGACTCAGAATCATACTTTGCTCTATTAACATCGGGCGTTCCTCGGGAATACATGCTCGGTCCGCTGCTGTTTTTGATCTACATATTTGATATAGGCTACAAAATTACCTTCAAAATAAAGTTATATGCAGATTAGCGTTTGTTATACAGGGGTATAAATTAGCAGGGCTATGATTGCTGCTTTACAAGCTTACCTTGATCAAATAATCTCATGAAACAACAAATAAGAAATTAAACTGAATTTTCCAAAGTGTAATTGCATCCGCTTTTGAAGGAAGCCACTGATTATCCAGACTGATTTCTGTCTAGATGGAAATGAAATTGCCCTGGTGGTGGGTGTAAAATATTTGGGTAATATTTTTTCATCTAATCTGTGGTGGAGTACAGTCCTGTAGAATCTATAACTATGAAAGCAGGACGTGTACTTAAGTTTATTAAGAACTGTATATGCATCTCGTGACGTCAAAGAAGTTTATACGCTTGTAATGTGCGTTCCGTCATAAAATATGCCGTTTTAGTAGGGGATACTGACAGTAAGAGCTTGATTAATAAACTTGAGATTCAAAATCGATCAGTCCATTTTGTTACTAACTCATATCACTTTGATATCGGTGTCACAGCATTAAAAAAAACCTTGTCAACGTACTCGCTTGAAATTTTCCTCGAATTATCAAGGTACTCGTTCCTAAACCAAGTTGTGCGTGAATGTGTTGACATTGATAAGAACATTTGCTTAAGACCCATACTTATATTTCTCAAATATTAGGCCACTCAAAGCAAATACGTTACACAGCATGCAGAACATTTGTTTTCAAATCCTGTCTTTCTTCCCGAACCCTACATCAGTGAAAACGACTCCCATACCTTGTGATTTCGGCGTCTGACGAAACTTTCTGATTATTCACTGAAGATACACTTGCGTGCAAGAAAATCATGATAAGTCAGTATTTTCTTTTTTGGTTTTCCAACTTACTTGCATGGCTTGCGTTTGTTTTACTTTTGGAAGCTGTTTGTATATATGAGCATGTTGCGTTCTTTTGGTGCATTGTTTTACTTTTAGAAGCCGTTTGTATGTATGTCTATTTCGTGTATTCGCATTTGTGTATTTTGAAAATGCTTTATGGAATTCACCCCCAACGAGAATGCCCCCCTCCCCGCCCCCCTCCGGGCGAAATGTAGGTTGTAGATAAATAAATAAATAAATAAATAAATGCTGGCTGCGTTGCGATGACGACTGCAGCATTCAGAGTGGAAATAACCAACTAGAAACGCATCTCAATAGTGCAGAACGATTCGCTCGCGCTCAGGCATGGAGGCGTCGGTGAAGCGTTCGAGGACGAAAGGTTCGTGTCGAAACAACTCACAAAGACCCCCTAATGTGAAACTGATTATAACACAAAGTGGCGCTAAAGGGAAGGGGGGGGGGGGAGGGGGGAGGGGCTCAAGTGGGTCACATATGAACAGTCCGCGTTAGGGCATCTGTGGATTTTGCAGGTCTGTACCAAGGGGTTCGCCTTGGGCAGCCCACCTAAAGGCTTCCCTCTGGGGACCTGAACTCACCTAGGATCATTGAATCCTTATTTTTCCACAAGAGGAGATTGCAGATTCTTATAAATAAAACTAAATTATGGTCTTGCTTCTTTCAAAAAAGAACTCTAAAAACATTGTGACGCGTCAGTTAATAAGGCATTTTTTAACATAAATACCATCATCCAAATAAAATCGCATTAGCCTCACTATACACGCACATAAATCAAACTTTAAGCATGAAATAGAACACCACTCTGGGAATAATAAAACAAAAAAGAATCGTTATATTGTGCGAAAATCAAACGACGCATTTAATATTCTCGATCAACAAGATACAACCCGTCTTCAATAATTTCAGAACGACAAAGAGTTCGATTGAATCATTACTTGTGATTCAAATAAATTGTTCTATTGATGCGTATTGTAAGATAAAAAAAAATGAGTACTTAGAATGTACAAAGAAAGCAGCGGTTTCGTTGTCGTTGTTTCCTTTTGTGCGTAACGCTCATGAAATCATTTATTCACGTTTACCATTGACCGGTTTTGTATTGTGTACCAAGACTGGTATACCGTTTGTCAAAACTGATTTCTGGAGCCTCCTCAATATCCACATCCGATAGTTCGTTTCAGTGTTCTGATGTGCGTACCGGGACTCTCGTGACAGGTGTTCAAACTCTTCTAGCGTCTGACGTCACTTTTGCGCCGATTGCGCATTATCTCGCAGATCCTGCGCCGGAGAAATGGACATTGTGTGGGACAGAGGAGCGTTGAGCTCAATCAACGTGGAACTCCGAGACAGGCAAGTCGGCGCTGTGTTAGTTGCAGATTGAAAAAAAAAAGCGCGAAACAGTCGCCCTTCAAACGGTTAGCATCAATATACTCTTTCCGAAAGTGCGCGCCGCCTATAGTCTAGCTTTTCGTGTGGTATTGGCGGTTTCTACGTCAACGCGGTAGATGTACAGAAGTGGCACTCTTTCTTTGCCGCACAGTATTATGCACAAAGTGGCTGCAGATATGCTTGAAGCTTATACGGAGAGCAACTCGTCTGCTTTTTATGCCGGAGTTGTGGTGACGTCAGACTGATGTCGAGCTCTGGTGGGCTTTATTTCAAAGGTGAGTGGATATACCTCAATGCTAGATGCCTTGAGGTTTACCCACTATTTGTTTCAATCAGCCAATAAGAGCTCGGCGTTCTGTCATAGTCGCAACCCCTGTATAACAAGCAGACGAACTTGTGGAGCACAAATTCGTCTGCTTCTTGCACAGGGGTTGCGACTATCACAGAACGCCGAGCTCTTATTGGCTGATCGAAACAAATAGTGGGTAGACCTTAAGGCATCTAGCATTGAGGTATATCCACTCACCTTTGAAATAAAGCCCACCAGAGCTGTTTAGGAGATGCGTCAGGGTTTTCTGAAGCACGACTGCAGTGAAAGCCACCTCTTTCTACGTGGTGTATATAGTTTGACAGCGGCTCTCTACTTTTACAGGTACATCACCGTAATGAAGTCGTTGTTGTCGCCCAACTTTTCCTACGGTTTGTGGTTAGCCGTCTATGACGACGACACGTTCACGGGTGAGGCTTTCAGTTTTCAATTTTGTTTTCCGCGACGGGACTAGAACTTTATAAAATGGTGTAGCATGGGCATATTGACTTATTTCAGCGTGCGGTCGGTGCGTTTGTCCACATCAATTTCTTATCTCGTTGTTTCTTTTTTTGTTTCTGTTCTTTTTTATTTACTTGCGTTACTTTTTTTACCCATCACGTCAGCGATTCGAGACCAGAAAGAACTAAAATGCCATTTAAAAACGTGCATATCGTCTGTGGCAAAGTTTGTTTCTTTTATACAGTTGCCGTGAAGAAAACTGATGACGATGATAGTGCAGGGGTTATGAAATTTACGATAACTCAATCTTTTTTTAACTATTGTCTTAGTATGTATGTTTATTTTATCATATATCACTTCAATCGGTGGAAACTAATGGTGCGCACTTCACGGAGTCGTTTTACTTTATTGTTACCGTCTTGTCAAGATGATTGCTCCTTCCGTCCGGTCGATATTACAGGTCTTCTCAGAAGTATGCCCGAAGCACTTCTTCGGAATCTGTTTGGTGAGTGCATTTGCATGATTGCTCCGAACTAATGCGGGGAAAATGAGTCATTATACTTAAACAAAGTGCGCCTTTTTCATTAATTTTTTTCGTCAGTACAGGAATGCTTAATGAGAACGTTCAGATGGCCCAAAGAAACAATTTCATTCTCCTTGATTTGTTAGATGTGAAACTACAGCGTACCTCCAAAAAATATTTACACTGCTTTTTTTTTTTCGCTTTTTTTCAGAAACAAATTAGTCATTATTGAGCGCTCAGTGTCAGCCCAAATGTAGCGTTACTAGTTCAGACTAGATGCCGGAATTTCAAAACGAATGGATGTCGTACAAGTAAAATTATAAGTAATTTTCTGAAACTTCTAATGAGTAAAGAGGGTCTGTTCTATGGTTCAGCTTTATGAAGGTTCAGCTTTATGCATTTTTGGTCTTCTTCGGCCGCCATTTTCCCATTGTAAATTTCTCAAAGTCACTAATAACATTTGGGCCAGACAGCGGCGAGCTTTGAAACTTTTGCAACTGGTAAGGATTGCTACCGCAACACTTGAGCAGGGTCCGAGCAGTCGGAATGGCAAAATATATTTTAACAGTGAAAAAAAAAAAAAAAAAAAACTTGCTTTGTTGTTGGGAACACCCTGTATAACGCAGCTAAAATCGCGGTTATTTTAACGTAGTTAAGACTTTTTTTGCTTTTTTTTAAGAACGTGTTTGTGAATGTTTTAACAATATATCAATCAAAAAAAATTTGGTATTTTCGACCACTGAGATTTATTTAAACAGAATGTCAAAAATAAAGCGATTGCATTTGATATTATTGCGTGCTTCCACGCAAAGAAATACCAATTCCCGCCCTTCTGCGAAACCTCAGTGGTCTTTGTTAAGCATATAAAATAGCGCAAAAAAAGACAAGAACAAGAAGTATACAGGACAAGCGCTAATTTTCAACAGTTGAAAATTAGCGCTTCTCCTGTATACTTCTTGTCCTTGTCTTTTTTTGCGCTATTTCATGTGTTTGAATAAGATGAACCAACTAGCCCAACAACGTATCCTACGAAACTTATTAGTCTACACAAACTAGAATGTGAAAAACATGGTGAATTCCATGAAGAGGTCATTCTTGTCAAATGACAGCTGCAGCGTTATGAGTAAAATCGCTACAATGGGGCACTGATACGCTCTAGGTGTAGGCGTTTCTTGTCATTTGAAACACCCTTCGCTGCGTGCCATTGATGATGAAAGGCATCGTGAGCTTTCCAAGTAAATCAAATTTTTGAATTGCAACGAAACCCTCTCAACTAAGGATGCTGATATGATGCGCACATTCGAATCCCACTGCAGAAACCTACTCCAGAAAACGCCATATCTTAAGAGTCCATAGGCAGAGACGCAGTCATGTTGCCTAAAGTAAGGGAAATTCAACGCGAAATACTTAGTGGAACAATAAAGCTGGAAGACGTTCGGTGTGCGACAGAACTTACCAGCGCCACGACCAGATGCACTGCCAGCCGAGTTCGACAAGGTGTATGAGGAACTACTGTGCAAATTCTTACTCAAGATCTTTCTGGACGCTTACAATTGTGGACGCTTACCACCATCGTTTTTCAGCAGTCATGCCGTAGCAACCCCCAAAAGTAAGGATGCAGGTAAACTCATAACTGGACTGTGGAAAGAATGCGGTCTATAGGATTTTTAGCCTGAGCTGATGTCTCGTGCGAACCGCGCTCGTTCTTTGCCCGTTTACGTTCACGATTAGTAGCTGCACCAGGCTGTTTTGATACCTTGTTTTTACTGTGGAAAAAAGAGCTGCACGTCAGGCTCTTTTTCTACCATGTGGGAGACCAGAAAATCGAGCGGCAGTGCAACACCGACACCACCTACAATACTCGAGGCCCGGAAAAATTCTCAGTTTCCGTCGACGAACGTCGTCACAGTCGCATGGCGCCAACTCAGCAATTGAGTCCCACGACGAGCGTCCTTCGACGCGCTCATTGGACACGAGGCCATTTCGAACGCTGTCGTCACTCGTGTCCCATGTGCGTCTTCGCTCGATCTCCATCTGATGACGTTAAAATCCTCGTGCACACGCTTCGACTATTCTAGTTGGTGTCGGCAAAAAACAGTGGCTCTGGAAGATGCCTTGTTCTGCAAGAGATCGCATGCGAGGCAGGCACTTTTCATTGCAATAGCCTCCCTGGGGCCTCCGAATTGCGGGCTCGTGCTCGACCGTCCGTATATCTCCTCCGTGGTAAAAATGTAGCGGGAAATTTCTCCACTCCCTTTAGCGCGAAGCGTTTTCCCGCCAGACTTCGCGGGAAAGACCTGAATCGGCCTATATGACTGAGGCAGTGTCGCGTAATGTGACGCAACGTCACGTGACACACATAAGTTTGATGTCGCGTGTTCTGGTCGCACATGACGTGTGGGTGTAGAAGACGCACTTCTGCAGTGCGGCGAGCAAAAAAACCCGAATGTAATCGCATTATGTCTCCTTACTTTGGCAGCAACAGCCAGAAAAAAGCCGTAGGTAAAAAAAAAAAGAAGAAGAAAGTTGCGTGGTCACGCCTCGTAGCAGACCTCAAGCCACAGTCACACGGCTCATACACCGTACGAGAGGCATGGCGTCCGCTGCGGGCATAATAGGGAGTTTTAGGGAACCGTTTTTGCACATCCGATGCGGTATGCGATGGGCCCTCTGCTACGAAACTGTGCGGGTGTGCGAGCCTTCAGTGGCGGCGCATGCGCAGTTTGTACCGAAGGGCCCATCGTATCGTATATCCGATGTGCAAAAACGGTTCCCTAAAATTCCCTAATAAGAAAGAATTATCTGCCGCCACGCCTCGGGCACGTTCGAAACACGTTTTCTTTCTACAAATGTGTGCTTGGAACACGTCTGCAGGCAGGTTTTGCGCGAAAAATGTGATTGAACCACTGCACACTGTCCTTTGTAAGGTGTATTGGGAGTGTGCGCGCGGCTCAGATCTGTTGGAATTAAACAAAACGCGATGTCCTGTTTTTGTCCTTCATGCCGTTTTCCTTTTATCCCTGTCGCTTTCCGTATGCCGTTTTTTAGCGATTATATTATACTCATATCTTCTTTTTTTTTCTTCTTTTTTTTTAGCAGGGAAAGGCATACATTTGCGTTTCATCGACAAGGAAGGTCCGACTATGCTTGGTTTAATCAAGTCTCCAGTCATGTACTACCTCTGGCACTTGACGGAGGAGTGAAGGGGAGAGTCTTCGGCGGCGGCCCATTATGCCACAACCGGATGCCTCGCAAATGTTTCCACATACTATAGTATTCCTCTGTCTGTCACTCTGTCAATCTCGCCCGCCACTCACCATCTTTCGGAAACACGACCAAAGAAATAAAAATAAATAAATAATTACACAATATTTGTTTCTAGATTTCAATAGAAAAGAATGATATTGTTGGAAGTGTGCAAGGTACAGTTTCAAACAATATGAACGACCCATTCACCCAGGCAGTTAATGCGGCAGTGGTAAGTCGTAGCCTCTTACATGGGTAAGCACGCTCGGGCCGGAGGCACTTTATTTTTAGAAAGAAAATATAACACTACAAAAAATGGCCAAAATGCAGGCGAGTTGGAAAATATTAATCATGATGTTTCAGCCCTGAGACTGGGAAGAAAACGTGGCGATAAATTAGGGGGTAGAGAAGAAAGGTGACAGACGAACGTCTTAAACGTCTCTTAAGACTTTTGTCTGTCGCCTCTCTTCCGTCCCTTCTAGTTTATCTTCAAGTTTTCTTCCCAGTCTCGGGTTTTAAACATCATGAGTAATAACATAACGTTCCTTTATTTTATCTCGCCAAGTATGTGTGCTTGGCCAAAGTGGATCCAGCACAACCGCCTGAGACAGCCTTAAAAAATTAATATTGGTTCTTCTATACTGTTGGAAACTGTACCAGGTTAATATCGCAACTGTCGAAGACTGTGCAGGTCTCAGCCGTTCGCGAAGTATAGCCGCCAGAACTACCTAAAAATTTATTTTTATTCATTCGTTCATTTTTATTTTAATCCTGCATTCGCGAAGACCTGCGATGGTTCATTCATGGTACGTAAAGAGAAGGGGTGGTGAAATTGCCTTTTTTGGGGTTGTGTGCATTACCCAAATTGAGTAACAATATTACGTTACTCGTTCCTTCATCAAAAATTAAAGCGTTATTGAGATACTTCACCGACCTACGAATGTAATCACCTGCCGTTCACTATAGTTGAAAAAGCATCGAGCGTTACTTTTCCGTTACTTTACACTTCAATACTTGGCTGCGAAAAGACGCGGTTATCAACTTCGACAGCAAGTAAACATTTTAAAGAACAATTTTTCAATATCTTTGTTTTTTGTTTATTGTATTTGAAGAATACAAAAATCAAAAGTCAAATTGGACGTTTGAGTGATTTATACAGCGTAAGGTTGGTCTGCCAGTAGGGGCGACACTGGTTTACACTGTAGATGAGCAATTTAGCCAGTGCAGTACAACCGCTAGCCTGGGGTCTTTTTTGAAGAATACAGTGAACTCCTAATATCGCACCTGTAATGGACCGATTACGTGACTAAGTATATCGAAAGAACGGGGTAACAAGTTACACAATTTGATGAACAATACCGTAAAATATATCCAAATCACTTTACCCTTTAGTAATTCCCGATTCTAGCGAGTATGTTTTTAAGTGCTGAAAAACCTGACGCGTTACCAGTAACGTCGTTACTTGTAATGCGTTCCGTCCAGCACTGCTTTCTTCGTGGCAACGAATACACGTGCCTCGTCATTCGCCATCGAGGTAACACAAATCTATAAGACCGTTTTTTTTTTTTTTTTGTCTGCACATTTAGGTTATTGTAAAGCTCAAAGAAGTTAGAGTAGGAACAAAACTGGACATTCTTGGTCTAGATGTATGGGTATCTAGATTGACCCTAACTCCCCAAATAAGAGCCGAAGTTAGGCTTCACTTCCGGTTGTTCAGTTTTTATGTGGCAACTTTGGGCCTAATTGCCAAACAAGTTTCGTATTCAGGCTTCCCTGCTTATTCTGCGGTTCATACGTGGCATATTTGGCTCAAGTCTGGCATTTGGGTAATCATGTGGCGACACAAAAAAAAAAGTATGGAAACACTAGACAAAAGCATTTTGGCACCAACTATTGCCTCCCAGCGAGGCAGTATTGTCACGGGTGGTGACCAGAATAACAATAAATAAACAGGAAGAAATAAACGTTTATTGTGGCGAACTTGTGGCGAACTTGTGGCCAAAACAAAAAGGGAATAGAAAATAATAACAAAGCGTCGCGAGCATCGAAGTCGGCGAGACAGCAGAGTAGAGCGCTGGGGCGAAACTGATCCCGGCTCGCCACGCGGAGCGCCTTTTGTACCGGCGTGGGTTTCTGGAAGATCCGGCCTAGAACGTTCGGGGCGTAGAACATTCTTAACTGGGTGAAACGAGAAAGTTCTCGAACTTGCGAAAATGACGAGTAGAAAGCATACCTCGGCAAATTCATTCATGAACTCGCTCATTCACCTTCATTCACATTCACGGCGTGAATCTGAATGGCCCTGAATGAATTCTTGAAATTGAAAAAAATCATGATGTGATGGTGAATGACTGTGAATTTGAATGAATTCGTGATGTGATGGTGAATGACTTCGTGAATTTTAATGAATTCGTGATGTGATGGTGAATGAAGTCGTGAAGTCGTGATGTGATGGTGAATGACTTCGTGAATTTGAATGAATTCGTGATGTGATGGTGAATGAAGTCGTGATATGATGGTGAATGACTTCGTGAATTTGTATGAATTCCTGATGTGGTGTTGAATGAAGTCGTGATGTGATGGTGAATGACTTCGTGAATTTGAATGAACTCATGATGAGTTGTGATTGTGAATGACTTCGTGAAGTGAAGAATTCATTGTGATGTGAATGACTCAATGAATTCGTGACGTGATGGTGAATGGCTGGTGAACACGATGAATCTGTGATGTGAGTGGCTCTTGAACTCTACAAGTTCGTGATGGGAAGTAATACCGTAAACTTAATTCTCGACGTGATAGTGAGTACGGTTATGAATTCAGAATAGGCGGAAAACATGTTACGCAGGCGCTTGCTTGCTTGCTGGTTGTTTTCATCCTTCACCGCAAACGACAGGGACCCATTTGACTCTAGCGGTTTGGGCATCAGCCTCGCTGCGTAGCCATGCGCGCCTCAGCGCGGTGGCCTTTTGTCGAGTCAGGTCCTGGTTTTAGGTGGCTGACACAAAATGGCGCCACAGTCCTATTCCACGAGAACTGCGAACTCGTGAACGGCTATCAGCCGTGAAGTCAAATTTAGTCAGGATGAACCTGAATGACTTCATGAGTCATGCGGAATTCATGATGTGATGGTGAATTCCGGTGAATTCGTGTTGACCGTGATGGTGAATAACTTCGTGAAGTGATGGTGAATTCGGACTAATTCATGATGTGATGGTGAATTTACGATTGTGAATTCTGATGAATTCAGGGTGATGGTGAATGACTTCGTGAATTGGTGATGTGATGGTGAATGATTGAGTGAACTTGGAGGCGGCGGTGATGTGATGGGGATGAATTCTTGGCGCGGTTGAACGACATGATGTGAAGGGAATGAATTCTCGGCGGAGTTTGAAAGCCGTGATAGTAGGGGATGAAGTTTTGGCGCGGTTCAACGCCGCGATGTGAAGGGCTACGAATTTGGGAGGTCAGAGTACCTTGTGACGTGAATGTGAATGAATTTGGAGACGTGATTTTGTTTGTGATGTGATGGTGAATGAAGGGGCTCTAAAATGCCGACCTGTGGTAGACAGAATAAATAAAAGACACTTCTCTCCCAGGAATCGAACCCTGGCTCATCGCGTAGGAAGCAAACACGATAACCGTTAGGCCACAGCCGCGCTGCCTACTTGGCAGCTGAGCGCGCGACATTAACCCCCCCCCCCCCTTCAAAAAGTGCATCGCCCCGATGCAACACAAAACTAAACAAAGCAGATAAGAAGAACGGCAAACTAAAGCGTCATTCGGAACACATAAGGTCCGCAGTCCTATCGAGCGTAGTGCGGCTTCAGGCGCACGACGTGGACGACTTCAGGTCGCGGTGGGCGGCGTGATGAAGTCCGTGTACCGTCGAACATCACCTCGTAGTTCAGATCCCCGAGTCGACGAAGTACTCTGTAGGGTCCGAAGTAGCGCTTCAAGAGTTTTTCGCTGAGACCACGGTGGCAGATCGGTGTCTACACCCACACCCTGTCTCCAGGCTGGAAGTGGAAGTCCCGACGACAAAGGTTGTAACGGCCAGTGTCGATACGTTGTTGGGCTTGAATCCGGAGTCTGGCGAGCTGACGGACTTCTTCTGCCCGTTGGGCAACCACCTGGCCATCGTCGCTTCTGTCGACAGCCGGTACGTGGGGTAACATCGCGTCCAGCATTGTCGTCACTTTGCGACCATGAACCAGTTGAAAGGGTGTAACCCCGGTGGTCTCTTGCACGGCCGTGTTGTAGCATACGGCAACACCTCGTCCCATGTCTTGTGCTCCACGTCGACGTACATGGAGATCATGTCGGTCATGGTCTTGTTGAGTCTTCCCGTCAGCCCGTTGGTCTGCGGGTGGTACGCCATGGTGCGACGATGGCTGGTGTGGCTGAGACGAAGGACTTCTTGTGTCAGCTGGGCCATGAACGAGGATCCACGGTCTGAGATCAGGACTTCGGGAGCGCCGTGCCGGAGGACGATGGATTCAATGAAAAACTTGGCAACTTCTACAGCAGTCCCGGAAGGAAGGGCTTTCGTTTCGGCGTACCGCGTGAGATAATCTGTGGCGACGATGATCCAGCGATTTCCCGACGTCGACGGTGGATAGGGGCCAAGTAGATCCATTCCGATCTGCTGGAAAGGTGCTGTTGGCCGAGGAATTGGCTGTAGTAGTCCGGCCGGCTTCATCGGAGTTTTCTTGCGTCGCTGGCACTCGTGGCATGATCGTGTGTATAGGTGGACGGTCTTGGGGAGCTTGGGCCAGTAATACTTTTCACGGATGCGGGCCAGTGTCCGGCTGTAACCAAGGTGTCCGGACGTTGGGTCGTCGTGGCAGGCTTGGAAGATCTCCTCCCGAAGGTCGGTCGGGATTACCAGCAGCCAGGGCGAGTTGTTGTTCCCGAAGTTCTCTTTGTAGAGCACACCTTGTCGAATGGCAAAGGTCGGC